TCAGAGATATATTTTTAAAAACGACATGGATCAAAGAAAAAAAACCTTTGGGGAGGAGGGTTGAAACAGATACTACATGTATTTCGGAAAACATTTTACCAACATAATGTGTTTTTTTGTTTTGTTTCGTTTTGTTTTGTTTTGTTTTGTTTTTTTTTGATAGCTTAACTTAATGTGCTCTATGACTTTTTAACATGGAGTAAAAGAAAAAGGATATCCTTCATTAATTCTCATAATCGAGTTTGGCTTTTTGTAAAATACGCCATGCAGGCGTCAAAATTCGGTTTATGTGTAATAACTTTAATATCTTGAAATACTTTCAAGACCCTCTTTGGTTTTACCATATTTTTATGAATTAATAGTGGAGTAAAATTTGTACATAAAACTCTCTGTAATCCACGTCCATTTTAGACAAGCCTTTTTCTTCCATTTACTATTCTTATAAACTTCTATTTCAATCGAGACACGAGTATATAGATCTCTTGGGCGTCTTATATCTGCGCTCTGTTGCAGAAACCGTTAAATTAAACACTGAAAATTGCGACATATACCGTTATTTACGATATTTATTTTATTTTTCCACAATTTAAACTGTTGAATATATGACTGAATTTAAAATAAATCACCCTCTTTTTTAAATATTTCCCCCTTTTTATAAACATTATAAATATACGTCATTCTTAGTATAATTTTACTCATACTATACTGCAAAATTTTGATCGATTTCCCTTGACTGTAGAGTAATTCTTAAAAATTTAACTGAAACCGTTTCTGTTGTTCAAATACAGGATGTTGTGTTGACGTCATATGGCTCTCTAAGGGCACCTTGCAGACAAACAACGCTGTTCTCACGTAGCAAAATCTTTTTATTTGGAAAAGTACCATTTTAAATAGCCTATCAGATGTCTTTGTACTTGTAAATTAGTTACTTTACCATAATTAGCACAGATTTTTTTCTCTAGGCATTTCTGTAAATAGATTTTCAGTACAACTCCAGACTGCATCCATTTGTACACAAAATATCTTATTTTATCGACACAAGTGAAATGGAAAAATACCAAATCGACTGCTCTTTTTCTCCTTCCCACCTATGAAGAAGTTCTAAATGTTGGTTGTAAAAGCAACTTCACTTAAAATAAATGAAAGAAGGACGCACTCGACATGGCAGAAAATGAATTCGTCATCCATAAGTCATTTCTACACATCCAAGAATCATAATCTAATAAATTTTCCACAAAAGCTGAAACAAATGACAGAAAATCCGTTTAGTACCCTTTAATGGTTCCATTATTATATCAAATATGGACATGACAAAAGCAATCATTTTAAAAATCAAATTATAAAAGTTTGCCGGCATCCTGTTTTCAACAGCTAATTCAACAAATCTGCAAATTATGTAATCTGTGACAGTTAGAAGATGCATTTTGTTTTAATTCAAGCAGTTCTGTATTAAAACATTTGTCATCACTTTGTTGTTTTCTCTTTAGCATGTTAATAAGCTGTAAAATAAAATCAAATGGTCCTCCTCAGAGGCAGCGCTGCATGCAGGATCAAAGACAGTTGTTTACCCAGTACTGTCCTCAAGAGTAATCTAGCATATATTTTTAACAATCGAAATTATGAAAATGACAGATACAATCAGTTTAATATGGTTTTATTCCCCTGAAGTAAAAACAGTCATTTAATTTTTAATTTGCTTTAGTTTGTACTAAGTGCTGGTTATGTTAATGCAGCTTGTGAAGAACAGCAACACAAATTTAAACCTTAGATATATTCAATGTTTATTTGAATTTCATTCAAACACATCAGTTAACTTGATGCAAATAAATTCAAGAGTTCATGTGATTAAGATTACAGGTCTTATTTAACTAAATGATATTTTTACTTTTAAAATTGGGTTTAAACCCATTCACCTTTTCTACTTTGTGTTAATAAAATTGAAAATGAATTATGAATAAATTAACATGTAATCCAATGACAAAAAAATATGACCATGTTACATTTTTCCAACAATCATCCTCAATTGATTAGCATTCTAAATGGAAATGGTGAAATACCTACTGCATTATTATAAATAAAATCAAACACAGTCAATATACATTTAATATCCAATAACTATGAAATGTGATCAAAAATGTTAACAAATTGATTATAATATTGCACTACAAAACTACAGAAAATCAAAATTGAAATAAACATTTAATTAAGCAATTAAATGATGATCACAAAAATACTTACCCATTATACAAGTGTATACCTTAATCAGAATGTAATACATGTACATGTAAAACAGAGTGACTAGTCTATTGATAGAGGTCCTAACTGTGTGCAATATATTTCAAATAAAAATATGCTTTCCATATTTCACAACAACTGTTCTGTATATAAACTTCCTTTTGCATATATTTCAGGTACTGCAACCTCATTATATCAGTAATACTAGCAGTTTTTAAAACGATTTCTAAATGATAAAGAAATCACGAAAAAAAATCCAAAGCCTACAAAAAAATTAGCAGAGATGATTGGAACAAAGTTCATGTGGAAGAACTTTTATATAAAGTTCTATTTCTCAATACTTTTATTTTTAAACATTACATTGTGAAACTCAAATAACTTTATTTTTCAAGTACATACTGGTATTATTTTAAAATAATTATGTTCAAAGTTTCATTGAATTTGATCATAAATCAACTATTTGATATCAACATCAATGATTACAAACCTAACCTTGCAATAATGCAGCCTGAACTTACATAAGCATCGCAAGAACTTACAATAATACTTATATATAGCATGGTAATAACACAGTATACAAGGATTCAAGGCATCAAACATGCTACATGACTATATACATAACAGAAAAACTCAACAATATAGGTTTGGCTTTATACATGTTTGATTGACAATCATTAATTTGGCAGTAAATATAGAGGCTCAGGAAGCAGTATGCTGATGATTTGGAAATTGGCATTAAACTCTTAAATTTCATTTTCAGTTAAGATAAATTAAAAGACAGTACAAGAAAGAAAGAACACACAGTGGAATTTTATACATACACCTAGAAAATATCGCATTATGACTTTGAATAATAATAAAGAGTAAAAATTTGGTTTCAACAGGAAAATAGAATTATGTATTGTACTTCAAGGAAGAACAAAGGACAAGGGAAACTTGAGATAAAAATAAATATATACAGAGATGTCTGGAGAGTGATAAACCTTTGTGACCTCAATGTATGTACTGTAGGACCTTATAACACAAAAAGATGCAAGGCCACTTAGTATATGGTCATATTCATCAGTGTATTTATTTGTTAAAGTACCCCAAAAATTAACTTCGTTGCACATTAATGGCTTTTGAGGCAAATATGGCATGAAAAAAATAAACAGTTCAAAAATGAAAATATAAAAATACGTCCAATATTATCTTTGATTTTTGAGGTTACACATATAAATTTGTGAATGTTTGCTCTCTCTTATGATCATGAAAACAGAAAAAAATGGTGTCATGAAAAGCTGGTGAGCTACAGAAGAATTGAGTGATTTACCATACTTCATGTAAATTTAACCTCCCGCATACACCAAACTAGACAGTTACTTTTTAAATAAACTTGTTTCTTTAAAATAAGGATTCCAAATTTTGAATGAACTCTAAATTTCCCTCAGTAATATACTGGAAGAAGTTATACAAAATTAAAACAAAGGTACATGTAATCAAAGAGTACAAAGCTCACCTCAAGGAATGTTGTCTTTAAGTAAGTCAAAGTCCTAAACTGAACAAATATTCTGGTAGTGTGCATCCCTAGATGCAAAATTTATGCTAGTTTGGTCTGATCAGGATTTTCAGTTACTTAGGAATTGACTTGCTCCAAAAACTTTTTTCTGTTCCATCATTTGTAAAATGTAAGATTCAGCTTCCAAGCAAAGCCTGGAGTGTGCATACCTAGATACACCATCCATGCAAGTTTGCAGGTCAGCATATATAGGGCTCAAAGTAGCCTGGGAATGAACCTCTTTAAATACTCACGTAAGTTTGCAAAAGGAAGGCTTATAGTAACTAAAGAATGGACATGCTCAAAAAAACTTTAACTATTGAATCATTTGTAGAGTGTAGGTCAGATCCAGTATCTGAAGCAAGTCTGGTAGTGTTTATCCCTCGATGCATCATCCATGCGAGTTTAGTCACCATGTTTATAGTTAATTAGGTCCTGCTCTAAAAACTTTAACATGGTCATTCCTCTGGAAAATATAGGTCAAATCCAGCATCTGAAGCAGATATGGTATTGTGATTCCCTAGATGCATCATACATTCAAGACTGGTCCAGGTAGGACTTACTTTAGATTGAACTGCTCCAAAAACTTTAACTTTACCACTCCTCTGGAAAATGTAGGTCAGATCCAAAATCAGAAGCAAGTCTGTAGTGTGCATCCCTGGATGTATCATCCCTGCAAGTTTGGTCACAACAGGGCTTACAGTTACTTAAGAATGAACCTGTTTCAAAAACTTTATCTGGCCATTCATCCAAAAAATGTAGTCAGATCTAACAACTGAAGCAAATCTGGTAGTGTGCAGCACCAGATGTGTTATCCATGCAATTTTGTCACCATAGGGCTTATAGTTACTTGGGAAAGAGACCTACTCCAAAAACAACAAGAAAACATTGATGTAACCATCAATTGTCGCCCGGGAAATAAATAAAGTAAACAATGGAAATAAGTCTTTATCATCAAACCGCTTCGATATGTGTGAAAAAGGCATGCGTCTAAATGATGGAGACAATAGTCGAGAATATTTTGAAAACTTATAGTCGGATGAAAATCGAACAAAAACGATACCCTTTTAAACTTTATCAATTCCTCAAGTAAATGTTGGCTGCATAAAATATAATTTGAAACCAGACGCATGCATCACCTATTTTCAAAAATATCTTTCACTTTAAGAATATAAAACACGAACTGTGTAAAGTACATTTTTACGTTTTTATGCGATAAATAAAATTCGATGTTCTAAAAAAAGGAACCTGTCGTTTTTTCGATAGTAAATGATAAGCAACTTTATATATTAAATATGAAAAACATATATATTTTTACAGATTCACTTTATGGAAGTAAATATATTGTGTATCTCGTAATTTATAAAGGGAAAGAACATTCTGATTAACAATCTTTTTAATGTTTAGAAAACCTTTAATTCTGAATAACTTCTCCCACCTCAATCCCCATATACCAACACTTAAACTTATATGTATAGAGCAGCCCGGTCCTCCGGGCTGCAATAACTGGGTCATTTTTTTTTTGGCTCAAATGCAGAAAACAAAACCTGATTGATACAATAAAACATGCTAAATGCATCCTCCATGCATCTCTGATCAACATAGGGTATAGAAGTTCTTGGAAAGAAATCTGCTCCAAAAAAGTTTAACCTGGGACACTGAAGCAGACACCAAAGGTATTACATTAGCTACCCAAACTTTGTAGAGGTGAGCTAAAAATAAGATATTGTTGGCAATAAATGGATGTGGAAAATTATATAGTACCTCACTATCAGTGCCACACTGTAAATGGCATTTTTTGTTTGAATACATTGATACACCTTTTACAAACACAAACAATTTCACAATATTTAAAAAGTCTAGAGCATTAGCACATAGTGAACAAAATGAATACATAAACACATACATGTATATCATAGAACATACTCACTATCACAAAATATACATATATTTTTAAAATAAAACAGATTAATTGTAACAATGTATTTGCTAAAATTCAGCCCTTTATACCATTAATATTGCCTTCTTTCTTAACAAAAAGAAAATATGGCTTAAGTGCACATACTTCTAAATATTAACATCACTGTAAAAAGCATAATTATTTCATATTTATTAATTTTGAGCTTTGAACAAATTTTTTTTCTTTTGTTTGCAGTTTTCCTTCAATACCTATGTCATTAATTTGAGACCTTAACTACATTATATTTGAAGTCACTATCCTACTTAAAAAAGGGGGTGAAAATAAAGCTGCATGTAGTATTTTATCTCTACTCATCTGACAGTTTCTAATTCCATTCAAAATCAAAAGCAATTAAAAGGGACTTTCCATATTGTAAATGTATATGTAGAACAAAAAGTTACCAGGTACTTGAATGACCTAAACCATATACCTATAAGAATAATACAATCATAATTCATCATGTTTTACTTGGTACTGCTTCAAGTCCCTGTCTTTCAGAATGTCTACAAAGTGTTTCTTCAGCACAGACTGAGAGAGTCTCTCATGTGTGTGAGAAAACAACAGTTTCTGAAGAAGACTAGCTTTCCAGACCTTTCTTTGTACAGTCCTGTACCTCACCCACAGGGACCTTAGGCCCCCCTCTACCACAACCCTCCCTTGAGCTCTCCTCTGAAGCAGAAGGTTAAGCCTTCTCTTGATGTTGCGTTTCCTCGCTCTAAGGTGCGTCATGGCACGTACGACCTGCCTCCTGTTATGACTGACACAAGTTTTACTGCAAATGTCCACTACTGTGTCCGTTTTGACTTCACTAGTGGCATGAGATAAAATGAACTTGATCAGGTTGGGTAGTGTCCTGGAGACATTGGATGGAAATATCACACTGTCTTCCTTCCTGCAAGAGAAAATGCAACGTTAACCAAATCATCTAAAAGCATGTGTAAATACTTCTTTGTATAAGAGTTCAACTTTGTATTGAATCAGGACTGATCCACTTTCAGCAGAATTCTATGATACATGTCTGTACCACAAGTACTGGTTAGTAGAAAAGAAAGACCATGCATCTTCTATACAAACTTTTCTGATCAATCTTACAACTATCAGTCATTACGTGTAATTGTATTTTTTTCTTCTTCGAACAATTGAAAATTCATATGAAAAATAGCTTTATTACATCTATGGTAACAGCTACAATGTTGCCTCAGGAAAAACATCTGATATAAACATCTGACAATAATATTGTCCACAGTCTGAACTTTCCCAAGCCCTTATCTACTGAATTCAAGCAATGTTCTGTGACATGACCTCATAAAAACTTATCCCTTTATGAAACATCTATCATACTTATGTACAGATGAAGGATAGCACCAGATCGGATTATAGTCCAATCTTTGCTAAACCCAAATTTAATTGTTCCAAGGGGATGTGGATGATGGAAGAACTTGACTGAGATATATGCTGTTTACTGATGTATAAGTGTGTCTCGCGACTCCCCTTAATGGCTTTCTCTTGCTAAAGGAGAGCCTGTTGTGTTATTCCCGACCTTTCATTGGACAACATTAAACTTTTACGTAAAATAGACCAAATATTTTAATTACTTTTCTGGCTTAAGGAAGAGTACAAACTAGAGATTGGTGCTTGTAAATTAACTGCTCAGAGAGAAAACAAGAACTTACATTGCATCATTTTCCATGCTAAATTGATACATACATTTCCTTGACAATTGATTTGTTGCACTAGCGATTACATTGCTTACTAGATAAGCATACAGTAAAACATTTAAAGTGACCTAAAGAGTGTAAACTAGGTGAAATACTGTGTGTTAAAATTGTCTAGAGCAAGTCCTACTTCATCTCTAAATGAAGAAAATGAGAGTTCCTATGAATATGAAATATTTGCAGGAAGAGTATATTTAGACATGATCAAGTTTTTCTGAGTTTGAAATATTTGCAGGAAGGGGATACTGGGCTGCAGAAAGCAAATGAGACTAAACCATAACTGACTCCCCTTTACACCAAATCATTGATATGTATATGAATGCTACAGGCTGTATTAATAAAGCACCTCAAATACCAATTACTTCAAAATATCACCAGACTTTTATGCCTCTATGTAATTTTCTTGGGGAAAAACAAAGCCATCAAGCATTTTAATTTAAAAAGGACCTCCACTATCAAGCAATTGGGGGTTACGATGATGCATCTCTCTTCAATGCAAGATAAAATCAAGGAATATTTCAATCTAGCATTCAGTTGGGAAAAGGGGATAGGAAAAGTGCAGATGACAACTGGAAGCAGTGACAAACACTAGGCTTCAAGCAGACCCAGATATATCTCCTCACATTTTTCAGTCATTCCCAATTAAATGCAGTTTGGAATGACAAGACCGATTCTAGGTAATCTTCCTCTGGGAATTGAAAAGATTTGAAATTAAATTTCAGTGGTAATTTAGAGATCAGTTCTCCATTGGCTGGCATCACACTGGTGGATTTGTTTTGTGATATCAGAGGATTTAAACATAACTGATCACTAATCAAGACTTCTTACTTAATCCATTGCTTTAGTGCAACAATCAACATTAAACTCTACTACAACACAATACAAAAGTACACAGACTGCAAAATACCTATGAGACTGTACAAAACTTTATATTTTACTATTGGTGAACATAAATAACAGAATTAGCACCAATCATTTTGCCAAGTTTTATTTCAATTTGTATTCCAGTCAATTCATGCATGGTCTCAAAATGGCAACAGAAAATTTTGCACTGACTGGCATATCTACTTGCAAATTATGGCTTGGCTATAGAACTGAAAGCAATTTCATCTGCACAGAAACTTAATTCTCTTAAGAATATTGTGTATTTAATTCTCTAAGCTCTCTCATCTATATATCTAAACATTTACCAAACATCCATTTGAGAAATATGTACACAGATAATGGGTTTATCACTTTGAATACAATTTTTAATAACTCAGAAATCCAATTATATGAAAAGTGATGAAGCTAGAGACAATGAAATAGATCTGCAGGCTTAAAACACTAGGCAAATTCTAGTCTGTCATGTGTATAGTAATTGACTTGTCAAAAATGAAGATGAGATCAGCACAAACCAATATTGTGGAGCAAGAGTCACTGAGTAAAACACAGCTATACATGACAATTTTTATCAAAACCATGCTACAGAATATAATTATTTAAAAAGTACAAATTCCTTGTCTCAAAGACTTAATAAAAGAATACATATTCTTGTACCAGTGATGGACAGATTAAATAATTTTTTTTTGCCTGTTTTGCACAGTGAGGAAACCATTTGTGACCCTTGTTACATTTAAATACTTTCCCCCATTTTATCATTATCTTGATATCTGGACAAAACCCAATAATTTTATTACAGAACCTATTTACATAAATTCACCTCCTCCATTCCACAAATACATCTCTAATATCTAGCTGGTGAGAATGCATACACATCATTTTACTGCCAAGAATATTTTCTAGCTATTGCCCTCTTTAATCATGCTTTACTAGGAACCCATTTCTCATTTCTGCTAGGGAGTCCTCTTAATATACAGCTTAAGCATTCATAAGGCCCCCTGAGACAGAGGCATTGTGGCAACACAAAATTTAACACCACCATTTTTGACAAGGCTGCATATCTTGAAGTTCCCCATGGTAACTAATCATAATTTTTTATCAGTCTTTCCTTATACTGAAATAATGTTGATAAGATTTTGTTGTGGTGGTGAAGACAATGAAATGTCTCAGCTTATCCTCTCAGTTTTTGACAGTGACGTTAGTGATGATAATGTGAAGGCTAATTTATATTCAATTTGGTTTTGAGGTGAATCAAGAAAATAAACAATTTAAGTTGCACAAAATACACTAAAAATAAAGCTATTAAGTGCAATATAACAGCACATAAATCATTTTGTGCATATTTCCTCAAATTAAAAAACTATGTCTACCAAATATTTTTGCATTTTTACCTTAAAACACATGTGTAGCTTCAAGGTTTTTGTTGCTTTTCTTCAACGATCAAAACAGATACAAAGGCCTAAAGTACTCACCTAATTACTGTAGATTCCTTATTTTACGTGAGTACTTTATATTGCGAAATGGCCATTAGACATCAATCGCGAGAACAATAATTTGCGAGTAGACACTTGATCTAAATATTTTACACGCATTTCAGCACCATAATAATAAAAGCGAGTAATTATTTTGTGATCGGTGCTTCTCGCGAAATTACACGACAATTAATTCCTCTGATATATCTGGGAATCTACAGTAATTACAGAATAGTTTCAAGTATGAAAGGTTCTAATATACATCACATGACAAGGTCTAATGATCATAGACCTCATAGTCTGCTAAATGTCTATATCATACACACTATAAAGGCTGTAGCCTAGCTACAGAACTGTAGCTCTCTATCTGAGAAAATTTGGACAGACAAACCAGAGAGCCACAGATCCAAGCATTGAAAAAACCTTCGATAAAGGCGATGCTTTTTGTCGCTTGCTCCAGGTATTATTTCTTGTATTACTGTATATTATGTGCGTTCCCCTGCTTAAGTATGGTATGTGTTAATTTACCATATATTTTACACTTATATATTCCTGATACTTTATTTACCTTTAGGGCGTATTATTTTATATGGATGTCGGAATGCGAATTTTGAATGCTGACATTCCAGGGCTATATAGGGCTGTTTGTAACTGTTGAAAGATAAATAAAGTATCAGAAATACAAGAAAAATATGGTTAATTAAATAATATCATATTTTAAGTGAGGAAAGGCATATAATACAAGAAATCATACCTGAAGCAAGCGACAAAAAAGCGTTGCCGTAAATCGAAGGTTTTTACAATGCTTGGATCTGTAGCTTTCTGGTTTGTCTGTCCAAATTTTCTCAGCCAGAGAACTACAGTTCTGCAGCTAGCTGTAGCCATAATGAATTTTAAAACGAGATTGCATCTATAGGTAGTTATCTCACTTGAGCCTTCAATTCAGGTAATCAAGTTAAAGAAGAAAACTAATTTCATGCAGCATATGAATGAAAACAAAAGTCTGTTGTGAATATATACACTTGCTTAACAGCATTTACGAAAACTTGGTCAAATATGCTGCATGAATTAAACAGTGCTGATTTTGTAAAACAAGCGTACCGAATAGTGCATCAGAAATGGTTTACATGATGATAATGCCATTATGCAATTGCTCCAGAGTTTTAAACATGAACCATGGCAGTTTTGTCTCTCCCAAAGTAAACATATCCCCTCATTTCACCATTCATAAATCATACAATTACTCTTTCTGACTTGTGATCAATATTTCCGATTCCCTCTTTATTCCCCAAGTCCTCCCTCAGCCATTTTGCCTACATTCCCCACCAGATGTCTCCCAGAGCACTCCTCTTAATAGCCATTTCCTGTCAGGCAGAAGTGTTTATCCACCATTCTTTATTAAGATTATGGTCTTTATCTTATAAATTATGTCAATGAAAAAGTGTCTTGCTAATGCAGTTTGACACAAGTTTATGCCTCCATCACTCTCTGACCATTACATTCATCTATAACTGCCATCCGACACTACAGTTAGTGTCCATCATGTGTAAGTATCAAAGTCATAAAATATGTGCTCGATGACAATGTGAATCACACACATCTTGTTGCATTGAATTGGAGGTGTGTGTTACTAATGAAGGCTATGAATTAAGCCTGTACAACTCAAACAAAACAATGTGTGATGGAATGTGTCATTGGGCACTCCTTCTCCATTATGTTATTTTATGAATCCCTACACACTGAAAGATTTATCTAATTTTTTTCACAACCTTTAATTTCATTAAAATAGATCAATAAAATAGCTAACCTCAATATCTCAAATATCATGGATATCTGACTGGACAGGGATTAAGTCCCAACCACTATTTCTTTATGTATTTTGATTTCAGTATCTTGAATCCTTGAATATCTCTTAGTTTTCTTCTTAGGCCCATTGGGTTCAAGATATCAAGGTTTGACTGTATATGTATTACATTACTTTATACTGCACTTTACAGCTTTGTTTATATAAAATATCTAAACATTTGCATGAACTTTAAATTTGTTCACCAAACTATAGCATTTTACAGGTCTATACTCTTGTATTAAAGAAAGCATTTTTATGTAGGTATAAAAGGTAAGAGAAGTTTATAAAACTACAATTATGCCCTTCACTTCAGTTAAAGAAAACGTTAGTGAAACAAATACTTCCTGGAAATCTTTTCTGACCATTAATCTTTGGGTATCACTTTAACTTTGTCCAAAGCCTTTGCTTTTAAACATAATGCATCAGCATTTAGGCAGTTTGAAAGTGATACAGTGACAGTTACAGTTGTAAAACAATGTTCAGTGACATAAAATCATCAAAAGCTTCAGACCATTGATGAATAGATATTAGAAACTGGGTTCAAAATTATATGGCCAACCTTTATTCTGATCTCATGGGACACAGGGCATAAAAACAGGAAAAGCTTTTAATCTGTTAACACAATCTCTTGTGGCACATGAATGGCCTATTTCAAATCTGGTTCAATGATAATCATGACAGGATGGATTCTACAAGCTTATAGTGAATTGTCTCAAAATTCTCGGTGTTGTTTCTAATGGCTCCTCATAACAGTTTCTCTTACTTTCTGAGATACGTGTCACGCTATCTTTTATTCTTTATCAACAGTCAATGACCTAAATTGAGTTCAGACTTTAATATCATATGAGGAACAATCCATGTAGCCAATCATTGATGATAATCCATCACTTCAACCATTCACAACAGTTAATGTTAAATGTTGCATGCCTTAGTGCCATCACACTGTTATTACAAAATGCATTCACTGCTGATATTATCATAATAAAAAACAGTGTTTCACATCAAAAAAGACAAGGCGCTTTTCTTGTTTTTGGCAAGTATACTCGGCGACTGGTATTGAAAGGACCAATTTTAAAATTTATTATCTTTCAATTTTCAGACAGTTTGGTGGCAACTATCATTGCTCCCGCAAAGTCTGGTACATATATGTAACCAAACTAAAAGCAAGGGCAACTCAAAGTGGAGCATCCCCTAAAGGGCACATTGATCCCAATATAAATAATTTTTTGTGTAACTTCCATTATGCATGCACTTACTCACCCAAACACACACACAATTGTGTTACTATATCCCCCTCCAACTTTGTTGCAAGGGGATAAAAAAAACCATAGTGTCAATGAAAGCCATCATGGCTAGAATTAAGGAAGCTCTGAAAACTAATGAAATTTTTTTTTTTTTGAATTTGAGAATTTTCAACATAGGATACCTACATGATTTCTTCAGAAAAAATGTTCAAAGATAGCGAAGTATTAATGAGCAGAAAAACCATATATGCAAGTAATGTTTTCAATTATTTTATCTTGATTTAATATAACGCTAAGAATACTTCAATCTATTTCAAATCATGCCATTTCATGAAGATTTCAGTTTATGCCATTTTTTGTCAAAGGGCAGATCACTCAGATTACATAAAACTATCATGGAATTAGAACTCTTCAGTGAGTAGTGTTTAGAGCTTCCTTAAGAACACATCACTATTGTATTTCAGACTTGAGAGTAATAAATCACTAAAACTGGAATGTTGTATGTTAGATGTATGTTAGATAACTTACCTATATGCAGGGAAGAAGAGAATTGTGGGATACGAATCCAAGGTAAACTCCCACCTGAGATCGTTCTTATCTGCATCAATTCTGAAATAAAAGAAAGCTTACATTAACCAGAGGCTTTGAATCTACAATACAAATTGGATGAATCATTATTTACTATTATAAAAGAATTTTCAAGCATAAACACTTTTATGTTCAAGTTAGAGTGACCTTGACTTACCTTGCAAACAGGAGGTCTTTGGCTAAGGAGAAATATTTTGCTAATTGGAGATATATATGTGAAAAACTTATACAAAATCCACACCACTTGGCTGTGATCAATAATACAACATCCTGTAATGGAATTAAAACAAAACTTTGAAATCCAATTCGACATAAAATACTCAAGTCTGGCTGTATTAATTTAGGTGGTTTTTTTTAACTTAATATGCAGTAAGAAAATTAATGCACAGTTGAACTTCGATATGTCGAACACTGATATCTCAAATACCATGGATATGTAAAAGTGATTTGGAAGTCCCAACCCCTTATTCTTTAAGTATTGTACCCTGGATATCTTGAACCCTAAAATATCTCAAAGTTTTATCTCTATCCCATTGAGTTTGAGATAACAAGGTTTGACTGTACATTATTGTATACATGTAGATAAAAATTCAGTACCACACAACCCGTCAAAAGATGACTTAATTATTAACAGGTACAATTCATCAACTGATCAAAAGTAAAACTTGTCGAAGTGACCAGTAATAGAAAGACAACCGGTAACAGAAAGACAACTTGTAGATAATGAACTCATTGATACTACTTGTAATGAAAAAATAATTTGTTTTTCAGATTCTTTCGCTGTACTTTATCCATTTCACAGTCTGGGTGCCTGTAGGATAATGATACCTTTGAAGAGTGCCTTAATTCACTATTCTATCAGTTATACAAAACACCAGTACATGCACTTTACTTGGGAATTATTGTTCCTTTAGTGTATTGCTTGCTCCCAAAGTGTGCAAAAGTCTCTCAAGAAATAAAGGAGAAACTGAATGAATTTGATCTTCGACCTCATCATATAGTTACCCAAGATGACTGAAAAATTCGCACTAAATGCTGCGCCTGTCAGGTTTTTCCTAGTTTTCAGTGGATTGTTTTTACTTTTATTTTTATTTTTGTCAATTGGAAGCCAATTGGAAAAAAAACTAATTTAAATATACTGAAATATGTTCATTCTAAGTTAATACAACTATTTGAGTATTTCTTTACATAGTTTCAATGAATGATACATGTAATATCTTGTCATATACATGAGTTGTCCATTATATGACTTGGCATGTCAATGAGTTGCCATTTCGATGGAATGGTTTGTTGATTGAAAGTGTCAAGTTGTCTTTTGATGAGTAGTCATAGACCCATAAACATTTCTTTTTAGAAAATTTAAAATCTAAAATCTCAAGTCTTAATTTGCAAGACCCAACACAATCTTAGCACTGTATCACCAATATCCATTGCAAGAAGCAGTGCATCCCAAAAAAAATTACAAATTGATGTGATACTGTATGTTGCAAATTAAACTGTAAACAATCAAATTGTCTGGATCTCGATGCTTGAAACATTTTATATTTCATACAAATCTAATTTTATAAAGTTTTGTGGGACAGAAATTACAGTGAAACAGGCACTTTGATTTTTATAAATTTCTTGTTATATTGTCCAAATGAATGTTATACATGTACTGCTATCACACAATATTGAGGAATCAAATTTGATGAGACTTGAGATGTTCTAAATCTGTCATACATTTTGCTGATTTCATTGAATCAACATGGCAAAAAATTATGCATTAATTGCTACTACAAAATAAAAATGAGATATTAAATACAGACTCTTAAACCACTAAAAATGTGTAAGCAATACAATAAAGGAGATACAGTGTATTAATAAAGTTAGACTGAAGAATATTGGCACTCATTGGTTTTGCCATGTGCTTGAAGCTCAGGCATTTAAAAATTCAACTTGTGCCAATATCCATCTATTGAAAAAAAAAGTTGTAATTACATGTATTTAGTGATGTTTATCTAAGATACACTGAGAGATATCCATATCTAACACTTTGCTTACTTTTTCTTGCTGCATGACTACAGAATGGAATGTCTGAGAAGTGACTTCCTGTACACAAATATCATCATGTGACCTCGTATCACAGGACTGCTTGGGACTTTCTGAACGCAGGTGGCGCTCTAATGCACTCTCTGTATAATTCTGAATAAAATTTGCTGCAAAATAATAAAATATACTGTATGTTTCATAAATGGCACTGTCATAGTATAAGTTGAGTAAATTCAAAGTGAGATTTATAGTAATTATAGGGTACTTTTGGAAGGGGAAATGATGAGTAAAACTAATGCAAGTAACCTTCAAAATTACAAATGCAATAAAACAAAACTACTAATTAAATTACTAAATAATAGACTTACCTAAGTTTTTTCTAGAGAAAGATTCCCTGAGAATAAAATTAGCTTCATTCTGAAAGTGAGGGATTTACACATTACAACCTCTGAACACAATTGTTATTTCTTACATAAAATCATGAACATCCAGCAAAGTCATTAATTAAAACTTAAAAATGACATATATGTTTATATTTACCTTTTTATCAATAATTATCACAAAAGGCTTCTGTATTGCAACAGATCTGAGAACATTTAGTTTCTCTAATAAAGCTGAATTTAATGACGTGTCTAAGAAATACAGACTTAAGGTTCTGTTTGTCCTGCAAGCAGAACCAGTAAAATTCACAGGGATAAAACTGGCCTCAAAGTCTCGGATAAACTGGCTTGGCTTTAATAAATTCTGAGTCTTTTGCAGAGTCAATTTCCTGCATATATTTTTCTTCAGTGAGGATTTACTTTGGCGAACAAAATTGTCATTGCTTCTTCTTGATGAAATGGAAGCACACGATTTATAAGATATATCTATTTTGCATTCTCTGCAACACAATGTTCTGTATTCGTTGGTATTATAATTATCTAAAGCATCTAAACAGAATGGCGCCTGGATGCGGCTACCAAACACTGCATCCTCTGCAAACAACAAAGATGGCCCCAGGTTACAAGACTGGGGCAAAGCTGGAGTCAATTTTTTCTCCATGTATCGGCAGAAATCACAAATTTTCTTGGAATTATGTAGGTTGTTGTCTGCTCCTACAAGTGACACACAACAGTTCCTGTCAGGATAAGAAAACTGCTTTTCCTGGACCTCGTAGAAGTTTTTACAGAGTTTCTGTTGGTCTGCGTAACTCTGGAAAACATGGGCTCTGTCCCTCATACTCTGTCGTAGAAAGAACTCCAGGTAGGGTACCTCATGACAATAATGGTACAGCAGGCCTACTTCCCTCACCTGTAAAAAGGATCTACCATTTAGAAAGAAACTTACAATGATGTAATAGAATAACAATACTACAGTGTATCTCTTTCATAATAAGATTCATTCCTTAATCAAACAAAATCATTTAAGACCTAATTCAGAAAACATATTATGGATATATGTATTAAACTGAGAACAAATTCAGAGAATTTAGTTTACCATATTCAGGTAGTAGTTGGTAGGGTGTACATGATTAACAGGAGCAAACACCAATAAAGCTGGTCTCTTATCAATGGCTGTGGACAGCTCTAGACTTTTGTGTCCAGGCAAATTCAGCCACTGGACAATAGGCTGTAAAGACACACGAATAGAAATCATAATAAAGTCTTCCTCTTCCTTAAATATTATTTAGGAATGACTCTAATTCTTGGCCAAATTATTCGAGTATAACCTGGTTTGGGTCAGTTTACGCTTTATAATCTGCAAAGCGAATTATAAAACAGCGTAAACTGACCCAAACCAGGTTATACTCGAATAATTTGGCCAAGAATTTGAGTCATTCCTTATAATTTAATTTTAAAATCATTAAATAACTATGGGTGTAAAATTTCGTTGTTTTTTATTAGTTCAAATTTGCTGCTCAATAATACAAACGTAGTAACGGAAGTAACGGAAGTGATGGGAAGCAAGGGGAGGTAAAAACTGATACATAGGCCTAGCAGCCTTGTTGTTTGTTTACATGTGGTAAGATCGAATTATTGTTTGAAGTTAAAGGTACATTTATTAAATCTGGAATTTTCCATGAATCCCGAGGACTGGAAATGAGAGGATTGTATGGATACAGATGATTCAGCTGGTTGTCAGGGGGGTGTGTCCCCATACCAAACCAGGTTATACAGAAATAATTTGTGTTCCTTTTTGGATATTAACCAATCAGGGGCTAGAATACAAACAAAATTAAATTATTTTAAAATAGCAAGCATTTCTCTAATTAATAATTGTACATCTCAAGCTTGTATACTTAAATATTATGAGACTGACATATATAGCTTACAAATATTTCTATCACATAAAATTTTGATACAGATTTAGTATATTTTAAAGTAATAAATTCTAGAGATAATCTTAAAGATGATTACAATTTAAGCAATCTGTATTGTGAATCAGCTTTGAAAAAAATCCTTTCTGACTTTGACCTTTAACATGTGTTAAGCAATGGACCTAAGCTTCTGAGCATACAAATACTCACTGAAAGGCAATTAATGTATTTCAAAGTTCAGCAGACTTATTAATAAATACATGTGTTAGATGAAAATGGTAATCATGCATTACTTTCAAACTCATATTTATGTTTAAGTGCATAAATTCAAGGTGCATGTTTTTTCACCTTCTAATAATTCTGCAAATTAATAATTACAAAATAACAAACATTTAAATTTCCTTAATAGTAGCTATTAAAGCTTTAGAAATGTTTGAATAAATTTTCTGGTGAAGATGTGATGGTGAAATGATTTGATACTGTTTTCATTTCTAACATTTGCAGAGATTTAAAAACTATATGTACCAGTATTCATAGAATTCATGACTGCTCAATTTGAATGCTTTCATCATAAAATTTTATGCAACTTCATTAAGGCAATTTTAAGGAAAGTGAATTCAATTTTCATAGTATAAAAATTCATAAAATATGGCTAATGGGTGTAATAACCAGCAATCTAACAATGTTATGCTACTGAAACCTAACTCCTTTGAGAATCCATTTACGTGGCATACATAATACCCTGGTGATTATCAGTACTGAACAACACTAACAGCACCTTTAACGTGCCATGAAGAATTTATTTCTATGGTAGTAAAACTTTATATGGCATCAGCTGCATTAAATTTCTAATAACTAGATCTCATCTGAGTGAAAAATCTTAGAAATGATAGAGTCATAAAAGTTTTCATGCTTCTGATACACATCTATAAGAAAAACAGGGGTCCATGGGCCACAATGCTAGCCCGAGTCATAAATTCTACAGTGACTTGAAACTTTTGACCTCAGTTGTGCTTACTATTGCCCTTGTAATTACATGTATGACTTCAACAAATATTAAATCTACATTCTAACTCACTATAGAATATTTGCCTATAAATATGATCTTAATCTTACTAAATTTTTAATTTCAAATTATAACCTGGTATATAATATACCTGATAAAAAAACTATTCTCTTATTTTCCCTATATTAACCAAAGGGATCATTACAGTAAAACATACCAAATAAAAGTTATTGTTAAGTTACATTTAAATGTATATATCTCTTAGTACACAGAGACCACTGGTCTTTGTTTGATACATGATACTGTAAACACCATCTTGTCAGCTGTCAAAATCAAACTTTTAAGACAAAAGTGGAATGGTATGTTGAATATTAAAGTGATCAGAATCAAAAAGTAGAACTGTTGAAATATCTGGATTTTATTGTATTTAAAAATATAAATTAAATTAATCTTATTAAGAGGCAGTCTACGAGAAAACCATGCAGAGAGCTATTCATGTTAGGTTCTCAATTTCACAACCCATTATCATATTTATTCATTTCAATGTATTGTAAGACTTTTCTGCAAATTTGGTCAAAATCTGGTAATTAGCACAGTGTACATGAGTGCCATCTATGTTTGTCATTGGCAAATTGCTATAATGTTATAAAACACATGAAAAAATACCAGTTTCCTTTATAGCTTTACTTCATAATAAACAAATTTCAGGGAAAATATATGGGATATTTGTACATATATGAACAGTGTTAATCATTTCCATTATAAAAATTCTAAATTTATTAAACTTTTAATGAGAGACAACTCTAACAATCTCATGATGTTCTAAAAATAGATTTTTCTTGCCTTAATTCTAAGAGCCATAATACCTGATAGACAGTTGAGAGAGAAATTTCTTTTTGTTCCTTAAAAGGTCATTACATAGTGTTTCTATCAGAAATTGGAATTTGTCGGATAATAAAATATAACGAAGTTATGATGAAAACAAACTTACACCATTTTTTAAAATCAACAAGGCCAATTTTAGCCCATATTGGACCTAGTTCTTTTATTTTACAAATCTAAATATTTGCTACATATTTTGTAAAATGAACATAATAATCTACACTTAGTATAAAAATATCAATTTTGCCTCAATTACGACATTCTGCAAAGATTATACCATTCATACATTTATTTTCAAACCTCATAGGGGTGGGAGGGAGTTTTTTCCCATTATAACATAATGTAGACATCTGTATTTACATGTACCTCACACAATATCTTCAGGAAGTAGAGTTCAAGGAGAGAAGGAGAGTATGATAAAATAATGAGCTCCATAGGCATGTATGTTATGGGGAAATTTGGGTTGAAGTCTACTTATGAGACCAATAATCCTTTGAGGTGCATAGCAACATGGTGGCTAAAGCATAGCAACAATTTACTTGCTAAAAATTTAAAACAAGAATAAGTACAAGTTCCTTACCATAAAACTACTAGTATTGTTTGCATCCTCAAAGACAACATGACTTTATATGTGAATGGATTGACTTAACCACCATGTTATAAATTCAAGTAATACTATATGTAATATGACTGTACATCTATGAAATCTGTAAAGAGAGCTTTATAAAGAGAAAAAAAAAATACATTCAAAATTCTACACTAAAATTCTGCAAAGTTATTTTACCCCAGTACATGTACCATGTTTCTGAAGAAATAAAATATCCAGAAAAATGTACTTTCATTCTTTTGAAAAAATTACAGTATATCAATGAAATAACATCTCAACAAAATGATATATTCTGTGGAAACCCTAGAAGTTCATCCCAACAAAAATGAATGTAATGAAGTACATGTAATTACATATGGGGAATACACATCTGAGTATTATTATAAAAACATTATTCAAGTAAATCTAAAAAAAACATTGAACTCAAACAATGAGTTCCTGTGACAGCCATTTATTCCGCTAGTTCATTGGCTATTGCTTGGACACTATCAAATTGTTCCGCTGCCTGAAGACTATTTATGATATTTTCTAGTATTTCGACATCCTGCTCATCGTTGACCTCCTCCAACTTCAAGCGCTTTGTTTGGAAAGTACAGCTTAGCATTCTTTGTTTTTTTTAAAACAAAACCTGCAAAAACACCTCTGATTTGTTGGTGTGTCAACCATTCACTTGGGCTAAAACGTCTCTCCCCATCAAAGTCTTTTTCAGATCGGATCTGTCTGCTTACAGTGTATGGATTGGCTTTTCGGCCGGTTTTCTCTCCTTCATCATAAATCTCAAGCAAATACTTTTTCACCTTACTTGAAAACCTTGTATTTTTCTTCCGCTGCTTCAGTGCATATGCCAGTGTCTCATACGAGACTTCTTCAGCAGGGTTCATATCACATGTTTCCACACTGACACTGGGCTGAGTAGATCTGATTTTGGTGCATTCTTCTGCCCACATTCTCTTTGAAGTGTCCAGTATGTTGTCGGTCTTTTCATTGTCATAAACATGATTACCAACTGCTAGGTGGTTAAGCAGTTGATTCTCCTTTCTGAACTCTTTTACACAGTCAGGATCACAACATGACAGTAAACGACTTGTAGATTTTCTTTGTCTTGTCTTCTCAGAGGGTGGCTTTGGGTTTGCAACAATCTGTGTGCATAAAAAAAATGAACTAAAGTAAGAAAAAAAAACATATGTGTTAAATTCATTAATAGAATAATACCAAGATTGTGCTATATGAAGCAAATGAAAATTACAACATACCACAGCTTCTGGGATGTCCACCATATTTTTTGTAACTGCTTCAAGCTTTTCAGATGAAATAAATTGCTCTCCAAAACCATAAGACTTGAATGCCAAAATACCATAGTCTTTAAAGATGAAGTTGTTGTACTGACTTATGGCAATCTTCAGTTGACCAGATAGTATAGGCTGGGCGTTCATGTCCACATCAATTATGGAAGTTAATGTATTCCGGACTCCCCCATGACTCTCAAGTGCATCTTTCATCTCGTACACATTTGTAACATCATTGCCTTCATTGATGTAATTCAAGATGTGCATTCTACAACTTCCTGTGCGAGAGTCGCACAAAACCTTTTCTGACTGGGCTTCACTGAAATTATATTCTCTGATTGTTACATGCATGTTGTTCCTTAATTTCCAGAGGCATGTCAGAAGGGGAAGACAGTGATAGCATCCTGCATTATCAGAGCGCAAATAAACTTCTTTCAAATGTGGGTGACTCTCATGAAGCATCTGCAAAATGTGGATCAGGATTTTTGAAACTGTGAACCAACCCTGTGTGCCATGTTGAAGAAGGTGCAC